ATATATATATATATATATATATATATATATATATATATATATATATTGCTCTAGCTGTTTTACTAGCTATTCTACTTATATATTTTGTAATATATTTTATTATTTTTTGAACAATATTGTAATTATAATTCTGAAACATATCTGTCCAAGCACATCTGTTGCAATTTATTTATTGATTATTTATTTTCTCTTATGAAGTTTAGTATGCTAGAATTTGATATGCTAGAATTGCATTATTATTATTTTATTTAACCGTCAATTAAATATTAAATGATTAAAATTACAGACGTCTGAGTTCATTGAAAAAAAATACTTCTTTCTTGTCTTTTAAAAAAAAAAGTCTACGACAAAAAAGATGTGCTCGTAATAATTTTAAAATACTATGTATGTTTAATGATACATTTTACAATACAAAATGACATCATAAACAAAAAAATTAGAATAATCTATCGATCAAATACCGCTTTACCGTTTCTTTTGCATTTTGCAATTAAGAATGTTGATGAAAAGCCCGCAAGAAAAAGGACTGTTGTAATTCCTAACAGCAATTAGCTAACGAGATGCTGACTTTTCAATGACGCGCGTGACATCACAGACAAGGTGGCAGATCTCTTGGCGGGTGGAAAAATGGTCTCGTTAAGGTTGTGGCATCGAAATGCGCTCACATATGCACGCATATCTGCATAAAATAGTGGCCAAGCGCGCGCTCCATTTACCAACGGGCGGCTCGCGCACGTTTAGCGTGTTATACAACCGTTGCACATTATGTGTTATAACATACGTGCGTCTGTGTGCAGTATATCGTGGGTAAATAGTGTTAGACTAGTAGTAGGTAGGTGTGGCGATAGACCGGCCGTTGGCTTCCTTCGCCACTGGCGGGGCGCAGGGTGCGCGAAATGAAAGTCAATTCCCTATATAAAGGGTGGTTTTCTAGCCCGACAACGACAGAAACCGATCTATTTTACTCACGCGCGAGTATCACGCCAAAGTATCGTTCAACATGAGGGCCCTGGTACGTGCTATCACATCCTCGAGCGAAGTTAAAGAAGCAGTGCCGAGATCCGTTTCATTTAGCTGAGAACGTTTTCATTCGGATATAACGCTCAATCAGATCGAAGTTTAAGAGTCCTCGTGCCGATTTTTCATTTTTCTACTTCCGTAGTTTTGTCCCATGGTGTCTCTTTGTATAATCGGAAAGCCTAACGTCAAAATTAGAAAAGCCTTACCATTTGTGATGAGAATCCCGTCACGAAGATGCTTTCCGAAAATATTAATATTCTCAATTGTGACAGTCATCAATCTTGTTAATATTGTTTCGCAGATATTATTTTAAACATTTGCTTTAAAGTTGATTAAATTAAAGCGCGTAATTAATTATATTATTAACGCACATCTTTATCCTATACTATACTATTTTGCGCTTTACTCAATATTTTAAGCAATTCTCTCAATTTCTCACTTTTAATGATTATAATTAAAATCAGATTAGATAGATATCTTAATAACTTTGACAGATCTTGATCCATTTATCTATAAATTTCTATTAAAAAATTATTTAACGACTTATTGTTCTTAAAAAATCAAAAATTGTGATAATTTTTTTAGAATGTTCCGCCATTCTGATATTAGTCTATTAATATTAGATGTTTATTAATAATAATTTAATCGATCAGATTCTCCTTTATATTTTGAAATGGATGTAATTTTCTTGGTTTTCCAGATCTGCCTGGTACTGATCTCCGTGGCGTTCGCCGCCGAAGAAAAAGTCAAGAAGCGTGGTCTCTATGGCCTGGGTGATTACGGACTTGGCGGTGGTTATGGTGGTTATGGCGGTGATCTTGGTGGATATGGTGGACTTGGTGGACTGGGTGGACTTGGTGGATATGAAGGTGGCCACGTTGCTATTGCCGTCAGGGAGAAGGCCGTCGCTGTTCCCGTCGCGGTCCCGCAGCCGTATCCCGTCGATCGCCCCGTCCCCGTTAAGGTATGAATTAATCATTTCTTCATTTTTGATGATATCGCAAAATACTAATAAGTCCTTCATACAAATTTGACAAATATATAAAGTTATGTAAATTGAATAGAAAATTAACAAAATACAATTTAAATTTAGAATAATAAATAAATTTTAAATGTTGTATCTAAATATTGAATTAATTAAGCGTTTATAAATAATTGGAGCTTTAATATTTTCTATTAGTTTTAATTAAATAATAAATTGTCGAAACAGCATCAAACGGTATCATTTCAACAAACAAAAACTGGCGAGCAAATAAAACAACTATTATATAATTTGCTTCGACTGCAGAAAATATGAACTTTTTGTTATCTTTAGGTTCCAGTTGCTGTTCCGCACCCGGTTCCAGTACCTGTGCCCCAGCCTTACCCCGTGATCCAGACCAAGACGGTCGCGGTTCCCGTAGAGAAGCCCGTCCCAGTCCCTGTTAAGGTGCCAGTGACCGTGCCTGCCCCATACCCCGTCCCAGTCAAGGTAAATTATAATAAATTTTACAAATAATTTTGTCCGTTAGACATAATACAATTCTTTCAATTTTGGCAGTAGATAAAACAATTAATTAATTCTTTAGCTGTACTGCACAAAAAATAAAAATCGATTTCAAAACGTGATTATTAATAGTTCCGTTATGTTACTCTCGGTTTCCAATATAAACTTTATTATCTCTTTTGATTAATCAATATCCTGATTCGATGTTGTGCTGCGATAAGGAAGTAGTGTTGGTTTATTTGAGGATTACGTGATTGAGTGAATGTACACTAGATAAAAGTACAGATTAAACATAATATAGTCATCATAATATAGTCATAATATTATGTACTATTGTAACTAAAATTATGCTTGAAATCACTCCTCGGTAATTGCAATTAATAATTAAAATATATTCAATTAATATAATTAATAATTGTAAATATATTAGTTATAATTATACCATTTAATAATGACATCGGGGGATTCTGTTTCTACATTATAATAGATAGACCATTGTAATAGATAGACCATAAACTACCCAATTATATTATTTATGTAATGTATTTGCATAATGTGTTTGCATTATTTATTTTTATTATACAAATACATTAGAAATTAACACAACATTTAACAAGTTAATTATATAATTCTAGAGATATTGCATTCTAAAATACAAATCAATATAAAAAATATATATATATAACGAAATCCTGGAAAATAACTGTTATAATAAAAGAGACAAGATTATTAAAATATTTTATATTTTTAATTCTTTACATTTTTAATTTCTATATTGTATTTTTTTAGGTGGCAGTCTCTCACCCAGTTCCAGTTCCAGTCGCTCACCCAGTTCCAGTCGCAGTTCCGCAACCGGTCATCGTCAAAGAGACGGTTCCCGTCCTCGTTAAGGGCTACGGACACTATTAGATGAATTTCTCCTTCAAAAAATTACATACACACCATCCCGCTCCTCTTAACCCTTTTCCCAGCAACGCAAAATCCATCACGACGAGCGTCTGGTCAAGAGATGTTTCTCCCGTCGTGTAGTGCCTTGAATTCACGGAATAAATCAATTTTATAAATGTTTTCGTAAAGAAACAAGTGATTTCTTTTTTTTACACCCAAACTTTACGCCAAAGATTACAAATATTACTTTAAATCGCATTCCATATTAACATCTTGCAATATTTAATTGTTTTGTTATATTTCAGAATCTTTTAAGAAAACAATAAGTTTTTAATTTTATGAGAAATAAAAAATTTATTATAAAATACAAGAATTAATAAATTAATAAATGTTTCAACTTTACATTTTTTATTTATTAAATTAATAAATGTTAATTTTTATATTGTATTGCTTTATCTGTTTAAGAGATGACTTGTGCTGGATATCTTGTATATTAAAATTAAATCAATAATTTTCTAGTACTCTTGATCTGAGTCACTTTTTTAAATGTAACAGTTTTAGCACTTGCATACAGAGAATTTTACGAAATTAATTAAAGCCAAGCCAAATCTTGGATTGCGCAAGTTGTAGAATAAGTTAATAAAAGAATATACTATATAATTTATACTATAAAAAAGACAATGAAAATTTAATAGTATAATGAAAATTTAATAGTAAATACTTATTATTTGTAAAATACTATCAATTAACTTAGAAACTTAGTATTTCATACATTATAAGATGTAAGATTTCATTAATATTAAATTTATTATTATATATTATCGTGAGTATATGCAATGGTGTCACGATATAAATCGAGATCATATGCTTTACGCATGTCCTTGCCATGCTTGAGTTATCAGATTATAAATTTATACGGAAATAATGTTGGATGTCAGATGTTCTTTCATAATAAGAATTTAATTATTTGACTTCTCCAACTTCATCATCTCGACCAGCTTTTGATGCTACTGATTTGTTGTTTTAATAAGGTATCATGCTCAATTTTACACCTTATCCAAGTACTTATCCATACTCGCCTTTCACGCTCTCTCAATCTACTTCTAGGAAAGAAATGTGAGAAACAACGTCCTTAAGCGCGATGATATAAAGTAGAAGTGTATTGCAACATGGGTTTGCCTGTGAAATCACAACACGAAATTTCGGCAATACATGCCTTTATTTTTTTCACGGTCTGACATTAACAGTTCGCCTTGATTACGGAATAGAGCAAAATGAATGGCAGATTTAGGGAAATTGACCAACGCCTGAAGATCTTTCGCCTAAAGATAATAAATAATCTAGTAAACATGTTACAGCATCAAATATATTACAATCGTAAGTCGAACAGTCAATTTAATTATATCAATTTAAAAACATTTTCTCATTAAAAATTCGATATTTTGAACAACTTTTAGATAACTTCTAGTTTTTAATTTTTATACTTTTATTTTTGTATAAAATGATATTAATTAAAATTTATCGTACAGGAAATATGTTTATTAATTATTTTTTATTATTACAACCCTTATAATATATTTAAATGTAAAATTATATAAAAAAATGTAATCTTTCTAAAAATTGAAATATGTATATATAGATATTTAGTTCAAATAATAATTATAATATACACAAATAAATGTATATTTCATCTTTTTAAATAAAAATTACATGAAACTTTAAACATAATATCTGTAAGTATAAAATAAAAAAAGAAAAAAATTATAAGAAAATAATAATTTTTGCATTGACATAATTAGTACCTGTCATTCATACGTTTTACTAACTCGTTTTCTTTTGCACCAGAATGCTAATGTGATTGACTGAAGATTAAGCAATAGTTTCGATCTTTTTTTTCTTTCTCTTTCTCTTTTTTCTTTATATATTTGTCTGTCCGATATAATATTTATTTGTTTGTATGTTTAAATTTTTATGTTTATTTTTACAAGATATTTTGAAGTTAATTATTCACAACTCAGACAAATTCTTTAATGTAATAAACTGATAAGTTTTGAAAAAAACGTAATAAAAATTCTGATTGGGATATACTATATATAAGTGTATAATAGAAATAATTTAATTATTAAAATATATTGTAAAATGTCTCAACGTTAGCATATCTTTGTTTGCGGAGAACTTTAGAAAGTAAGAATCCAAGTAAGAATGCAAATATGCATTCAAGAACGATGCGAATGAAAGAATGTAACTAAAATACTTACATAAAATATCTCAGATTATTCCAAGATATAAGGAATGTACGTGTATATGTACATTTTTATAATCACACTTATTGCATAAAATTTACATAAATTTTCAAAGCGGTTGCAGAATGCAAATGAAATCAAAATATAGATTTTTCCACGCGTAAATACATTTTTCTCTCTATATAAGTCATATAATAAAATTATCATTACCGTACATAAGATTATAATATGTACTATATGTGCAACATTCATACACTCGTTTAGTCAAAATAATTTTTAGTAGGTTGAGCATAAAGATTAGATAAATTTTTGTGACAATATGTATAATATAAAGCAAAGTAAATCAATAAATAAACATTAAATGAATATTTTCAGAACATGTGCAAACAATATTTTATAAATTTCTAAATTATATCAATCCTTCATTGATGCGTATATAAATAAACTAACAATTATGAAGTGTATTTGGAAAGAAAATGTAAAGAAGAGATAAAATTGTGAGATTGAATGCTAACAGAAAGTCAACCAGAGAAATGTCAACCAAATTGTGTGTAATTGTGATAATCGAACTCAATCGATATGAATAAGAGGATAAGGAACAAAGAAAACAGGGACAAGAACTTTCAGGGACGAGAACAAAAACTTGACTTTCATTTTTGAACAACATGAAACGCTTTGCCTACATAATGACTTCTGATTATGCCAATTTGCACAACAATAAAGAGACACTTGATGTGCTTGATTTAGTATTTAGGATTTGACACATTGACAACTTTTTTATTACCTATAAGTATGATTCTTAATCTTAATAACTTACTAATAAATGTAATCACATCATAAATATAATCGTCTTGCTTTTGTTATTTACATTGAAAAATTATTTATTATCGTACGTTACATATTAATATACTATATATTATTAAAGCATTAAATAACAAATAAATTATAAAATATTAAGACTGGATATAAAAAATTTATTTTACTGTGCACAATATTAATTCTAAAATTGAATAGTTTAATTTTTGTGTTGCAGACGATTATTCAGTTTAATATAAACGAATAATAAATGTGAGAGATACAGATGTATAGCAAAGAACACAGAAACAACATTTGAATTTTGCTAAAGGTTACAATTTGAGCCTTGAAGATACGAAAGTAGCGTCACGGGGCTTGTATAATGCAAAAGGTGTGCATTCGATGCAAAATGCGTGCACGTATATGTATATACGTATGTATGTATGTATGTATGTATGTATTGTACATCGAGGTGACGCGAGGAACGTGCGTGTAATAACTGGTGCGCAACGAATGAAACGTGGAATTTTCGGCGATTTCGCCGGGCCCGGCTGCTCAAGCCCTGGCGCTCGTAATTATGCAATCGCTACAAACGATTATACATCTCGCGCTTGCAAACGACGAGAGGACGATCAACGGCCAGTTTCCGGTGTCGAAATCAGAAGCGGTTGCCGTAATTATGCAATTCACGAACACCCACTTGTTTCTCCCACCCGGAAATCGTTGGTTCAAACTGTGGATTTATTGAATTTTTCATTAAGTCTATTTTCCAGCATAATATTATTATTAGACATTAATTCTTTGTTAACAAATTTAATACACTGTGACAAAATAGATATAATTTAATATTAATTTTTTTTACTTTTAATTTTTTATTCTTTATTTTCTTTAATGTAGATATCTAATTTTAGAGATATGTCCTCCATATCCACATAGAAAAATAACATATACTAAATATAAAATTAAAAGTGGAATAATAGAAAAAGTTAATTTTTGCAAATCTTGTTTGAAATATTTTATGATCTTAATTTACAAATTTAGTTCAAAAATATTTTAAATTACCTGCAATATATTTAAGAGCTTTTTTCAAATAGAAACCGGTTAGAATGGATTGATATATTCACCCTCTTTCACTTTCTTTCTACCGCAAATAATACTACAAGATTTACGATAAATGAGGCGGCTATTTCAGTAAATCTCTTTGCGAAGAAATGTCTTCGACGAAATTTATATCTCGCAAATCTCGATCGTTCTTTCTCTCAATGGGCAAAAACCATTTCGTCTATGCAAGAAGTTAGTCTCTGGCGTCGCGAGAAATGTCACATGTAAATTCGGAGCATCCATTATCAGCGTTCGAAAATTGCTAGACATCCTCCTTCTTTTCACCAAGACAGAATCCGGGTTCACTATAATATTTATTTTGTATAAAAACATTCTCGTTTTTTCAACAATATTGGAAAATAAAATATTTCTCGCGTATAAAAATAAAATAGTTCTCGCGTGCAATAACAAGAGCTGCTATCACATTAGCAATCTAAAATTCTGATTAAAATTAAATTATTTGAGTAAATGAAATTTTTGCTTTCTTATATTTTAATCTGTGAATGTTTATATTAGGCCTTGTCATTTGAATCGCATTAAAAATATTACGCTTAGTTATATTTAAGTTATTAGTTACTTGTTGCTTATTATTTATTTATTTATTTGACATCACAAATTTAATTTACCAACAATTGTTTCCTTTTAATTATTTGACAATTCTAATTTTAATGTTAACATATAAAAACCCTCTTTTTTGCCATATTTATTATTACTTTTAAAATTATTTTCTTTAATTAATTTCTAAATAATCAACTGGCATTTGTAATAAAAAAATTTTTATTTTAAAATAACATTAATATAACATTAACTAAAACTAGTTTAAATAAATATACGAAAAGAAATTATAGTAAACCTTGAGAATCCATATATTTGTATTCATCAACCAGTTGATTAAAATTAATATCGCTAATTTCAGAATAACTCCATATAAAATACAATAAGAAAAATAAAATTGCATTTAATTTTTTTTTAGAAGGAGAAATTATTATTAAATTAAAGTAAAGTAAAGTTTACTAACACATATTGTATAAAACATAAAAATATTTATTAATCTTGGTTTCTGAGTCATATTTTATAATTTTAAATTTATAACTTTATTTGCACAATGCCCCTAAATTACTCATATTTTGATAATTAGTTAAGATATTAATTAAGCCTATTTTAAATGAGTCTAGACTACTGCGAGCATTTCTGATTGATTATTTACGACGTTCGGAAACTGGTATAAAAATCAGATTCGTATTTATATTCGGAAATCAGCAACATGGAAATTATGGAGGAATGTTAACTCAACCGCATTCTTTGATTGATATGTTGCTAATTAAATATATTATCTGTAAGTATCTTGAATAATGAAAAATCAAATTAATATAATTTTTATTTAATTTAATTAACTTTATTTAATCAATAAATAAATTTCTTAAATTTCTTATGATGTTTATTTTACAAAATATTTATAGATATTTATTTTACAAAATCTAAGAAGAATAATTTAATATTTTTTTTCCATAAAAGCTTTTTACTCATATACATTTTTCTTATTTCCTGTGCGTATCAAACTTTTTCACCTCTATTTTTTCTTCTTTTTATTTGCAAATTTCGCAAATAATTTAATATTTAATATTTTATTTAACAAACAAGAATATTTAACATTTTTTAATAGTAGTTAGCCTTCGAATCGAAATTTGGTTAAAACATCTATTCATAACATAAAGTTAACAGCAAAGGACAGAACAGTTTATTTATATGCATTTTTAATTCATTGAAGATTAATTTACTAAAAATCCCAGGATCGTTGTATCATTTGTCACACATCGCCCACGATATATATAAAGAAATAATAAAGAAATAATCTGCATAAGTCCTCTTTCTAGCTTCTAGTCTCACTGATTTCACGATCATAAAGAAACTCGAAAAATGCATTTTGCCGGCGTGACCTCGCATGCCGTGATTTTGACGTCATCCGGGAATCCACGAACTAATTTATGAAGTTTAATGACAGCATTCTAATTTTGGGGGCGATATGTTTCTTTTTCTCTTCCAGTTCCAGAAGAGAATAAGTTTGTTATAATTCTTCTTTTATCTTTAATCTTATTTCATTGGGTACATGAATATATTTCAACTTACACACTTTTTTGACAATTCCTAATTAATATAAAATCCGTAAAAAATATATAAAATATATAAAAAAATTAAGTGTACTTATTTGTTAAATCTTTTAATTTCTTATAATATAAAAGTTTTACATATTGCAATATTGCACTTACATACAAAACAAAGATAAATACTTTATAACCTTTTATATTACCTTTATACACTTATACACTGTTTTTTTATATCATTAATAATATTTAAGAATTTATTTAATCATTTTTCTCTTCTTCTCTTTGGTTTATTGTTTTATTTTATATAAAACACTTTGTTTTAATTTTAAAAGCATTATTTATTTTTTTAGGAAAGACGTTACAATTAGCTTGATTTTCTTATTATTTTTTATAATATTTTATATATATATTTTTTTTTAATTGTGAAAATCTAAATAACTAAATATGTTACAAATAATATACTGTGATGGATTACTCATAATCCATTGAGTAGCATGCAATTTAAGTTAACCATAAATATTAATCATATAACGATGTCAAACGTTATAACAAGGATAAGTGCTTTACTGTGTTGCCATAATAATTTTCATCAATACGTAAGCAGCTGCATTTATTCATCTATGAAAAATATATATACGGACGGTACTAAAAATATATACTTACATTATGTTTTCTTCAAGTTTTCTGGAATTGGCCGAACAGGTGGGGTCAATTAACAAGCAGCGAAATTGCACGAAGCTGCCTAAAAGTCAGACCACTTTCGGTAATAGCACGGTTGAAGAGAAGAATCAGGCCGGTTCCATAAGTTCCATAAGCACCTTGCGAAAAGCATGGAACAAAAGACGTCGACAGCTCTCCAATTTTACGACATAACATGAAATTGCGGTAGAATAAACATAAATTGAGAATTTATAATCGGGACTACAATATTACATAAAATATTTTGTTTATATATAGAGTTTATGAGATCAATTATATCTCTAAAGCTCTTAGAAAAATATCTAAAGTTAAGAGTAATTAAGAATTTTTATTCTGAACAAAGATTACAAAAAGTTTTCGTAAAAATCGAGAGAACTTTAAAATATATCAAATTAATACATATATCAATTAATATATATGCATACTTAAAAATTTTATTTTATTTTATTTTATATAAAATATTATTTTTTTATTAAATTCTTTTTTCTTTATTTAATTTTCGTTATAATTAACTTTCTCTGTACTTGCCGGTTAAGTGTTAAGGAAATCCATGGGATTGATTCTTCTTAAATGCTTTTTCACTTTTCGTCAAAATTTATGAGATCTGATCAAACATGTCTTATGCTTGTCATTTTTTCTCGCCGGCTTCGAGAAAAGAAGATATGGTGTGGCTGCATGGTAATAAACGGAATGATAAATGAACGAGAAGGTATTCGAATATAATATCGCACAATATATTATGTTATTTTTATCAAATAATTATTTAATTTATGTTGAAATCTTAAGCAATAAGTTTTTGTCATTTAATATTAATATGTTGCTACATAATTTATGTATCAAAATTTCCAAAAAAATGGAATGCATATTCACATGCAAAATGCAATTATATATAATATTATAATTATATAATACATAAAATTTATATAATAATATATAATATTATGTAATAATATAATTATATATTAATGTAATTATGGTCATTTTTTTACTAAAATATTATAATATATATTATTATAATATATTTAATAATTTATACTAGATGTATTGTTAAAGAAAATTTTGTTATATCTTTTTTTCTCTCCTTAATTAAGAAATAATAACAAGAGTTTAATCGTCTTATAATTATATAATATATATGGAAATTTAAACTGTATTCCTAAAAAGAGTGAACTAATTTGATTTACTAGAATGAAATAATTTGATTCACACAGCTTGTAACAGCTTGTAACAGCTTATATTTATTGCCTATAGTTTGTTGAGAACTAAGCTCATCATTTATTTCTCATTTGCAAGATTTCAATTACGGAATCAGGCGAGCACAAAAATTGCGCAAACAGATGATTGAGAGAACACCCGGTGCGATCATGATCGCAAAACAAAGATTCACAAAGATTGAATCGACATGGGGCCTCAATTAGTCATGCTGTGCTGCATAAAAACTATTTTATTTTGGCATAAAATTGATTAATGTTAATTTAAACAAAATCAATGTACAAGAAAAACTTTTTTATTTATTAAAAATTCATCAAAAATATAAATTTGCGTTATAATTTAAACAATTATAACTGCACTGCAATATAATGATAATTATAATCAAAATTTTTTAATTAATAATAAGAATTTTTTATTACCTATAAGTATATTATTATATTAATTATAACAATATAATACTGTAGTATACTGTGTTACAGTACTAATTACGTAAAAATTTGAAGCATAAAGAATGAAACTAAAATTACAGAATTTAAGACTACAACATGTAAGGCTAAGATTGGGTAACTTATTAATCTATTTATTAAATTAGGTTACATACTATTCTATAATTCGCCGTGAGCCGCGTAAAGGAGACTTGACGTTATGAATTTCGACGCGTGCGAGGTGGTGCATTTACGCAAGATCTGCACGAGTCTTGCTTACGAGCGGCGAGAAGAGTCGCGCGGGTGCGAGTTTTTCGGCAGTGGGGCCCCTACTCGCGAAACCCGGTTTTCGGTTTCTTTTTACCTAACCGCGTTTCGGCGATGGGCCCGGTTGTCCACCACCTCGCTCTCCATGCCGTCTCTCCTTGAGGGTTCATCGTATAAAAGCAGGGGGATCTTCATCGTACTCATCAGTTGCAAACACAACGAACTGAGTCCGAAACTCGTGCAGCACCATGAACACCAAGGTATAATTGGATACGAGGTTTTTTTTTTTATAAAAATCAGTTTGACGAAGAATTGTCCCGAGACTCTAAAAGATCTAAAAGATCTAGAAGATCTTAGAAAAAAATCGATCGTGCGTTGCGGCGGGGGTGTATCATGCTTTCTGAAAGAAAGGATTAATACGTTCAGCTTGTTGCAGAAAACCGAAACTATTTGAAACTAACATAAAGTTCAACAAAAATAGATATTTGCATAATTAGAGAAATTAATTAAAACATACAAAACAAAGTCACAATGAATATGTCTTTATTTTTCAATTTAATAATTTGGATCAATTTACTGTATTTTTAATTATTATATTAGCTTAAAATTGAAACATTTATAGGTGCATTTATATAAGTGTAAAAGTCACATAGGAAGATAACAAAGTTTTTAATAAACTATTACTTATTACTATCTTTATCTTTAATTTCTTTTTTCATTCAACACTTTTTTTTACTTTTGTTCTTGTAAATAATTTTAATTTATTAGTTTTTTAATTTAATTGTATAAATTATTTAAATTCTATATGCAAGTTTGATAGAACCTTTATTGTATATTTCTTCTCTTTTTTAATTGATTTAAAAATACATTTAAATATGTATTATTACACAATTTCAACATTACTGAAATGTAAATTAAAAAATACGTTAATATATATTGTTATGCGATCAATATATAATTTTGCAAGCAAAGCATATAATTCTCTGACTTGTAGATAGTAGTTCTCTTCGCCCTGGTGGCGCTTGCTTTCGCCGAGGAAACGAAGAGCGACGAGAAGAAAGTGGAGACCGCGAAGAAGGATAAGCGAGGTCTTTACGGAGCCTTGGGCTATGGTATCGGTGGGTTGGGCTATGGTCTCAATGGATTGAACACATACTCGTCTCTTCCGATTGGAGTGAGCCATGGCGTCTCCACTGTTTTGACAAAGGAAGTAGCCGTACCCGTGCCGCAACCAGTTGCCGTACCCGTCGAGAAACATGTCCCAGTCCCAGTTAAGGTATTTAAAATATTCGCAAATATTTTGATACTCATATTAAAATTCTACTACTCGCGATTCACACGTAAACAGATGCAAAAACTTGTCAGCAAAATTTGGTGAAGATTATCTGCAATAACTCTTTTTCATGTTTTTACTTTACACTACATTTCACTACCAGCGGAAGAAAGTAACGTTTCTGGAAGTTGATTTACTGGAAAGCGTAATTAGATGAAAGCAAATGCCTCACCGAAGAAATAATAACTTCACTACGTTTATCTTTCAATAGAAAGATCGGTTAAAGAAATTATAGTTTCCAATTTTTTAAATGCCAACATTTAATTAAAGAGATTAGATATTCAATTTGTTATTTCTGTAATTATTATTGCATATATCTGAATATCTTGATATAAATTTATTAAGTTCTATAATTTCATGAATCGCTTTCTCGTACTTCTCAAAAGCTTATCTCTTGAGAAATTATTGCTTGATAAAAGTGCAAACAATTAGTTTCTAAAATAATAAATTATTATGATCTATATATATATATATATATATATAACTATGCTAATCTAAACTTTCGAAATGTATGAATTTCTACAACTAAATAAGATCAGCTAAATAAGATCATGCAAAGAGAGATAATTGTAACGAATAGAGCGCGATTAGGAATACTAAATCTTTGTCTCATGTCGGAATGATATCTTACCTTGTTATTTTCTAGGAAATCAATATATCATATATAACATATATATCATATCATATATCATATAATAACAAAAACGAATTTATATAAGTGTGTATCTTAATAAAATTTATATTATCTTTACAAATAATAAAACAGGTGATAGAGCAAAAAAAATAATTTAAATTGCTAATTTTGTGAAACAGAAAGTTAGCTTCTAATCAATCAACGAGCTCCAAATCTCTCAATTACAAGAAGAAACTGAATTTATGTACACCTCTTAATTCTTATTTATTTCTTCGGTCCGATCGCACCGACCACGTTATTTTGGCTTTAAGCGAGACTTAAATATGTGCCTGTCTTTATTTAGAATGAAAGTTAAAGACGGATACATATTTAAATCTCGCCTAAAGCTAAAATAACATTGACGCAACTGGGCACCTTAGTGTTACAAATGAAAGCAGATTGAAAATTAAATTTATTCAGAATCACGACCATCGATCGCAATCAAAAGGTGTCCTTCTGCTTTCAGGTACCATACGCCGTGCCCGTCGACCGCCCGTATCCAGTCCAAGTGCCCAAGCCGTACCCAGTCGAGGTCACCAAGCACGTTCCTGTCCCGGTAGACCGCCCAGTGCCAGTTCCCGTCAGTGTTCCAGTCAAGGTCCCGGTTCCCGCCCCGTATGCCGTCAAAGTGCCTCAGCCCTACGCCGTCCCCGTCGTCAAACACGTGCCGGTGCCCGTCGCCCAACCGATCGTCTACGAGAAGGTTCACAGCGGTATCGGATACTACGGCGGATATAGCGGAGCCTACAGCGGTTATCCCGGTTACGGATATTCCTCCTGGTAAACGCCATCCCGAGGGGACGACGCTCTTCGACATCTTCAATGCGAAGCATCACCCGGACCTCGCGTGCAATCTTTTCAGTGAC